ACCCCGCACCGAGGGCCTCCGGCCCCCCGCCCGGGCACCCCCGCCCCACGCACCTCGTACTCGCGGATGTTGTTGGAGGTGACGAAGATGCCGATGCCTATGGGGATGAAGATGAGGCCGATGATGAAGAAGGCCGGCAGCACCGTGCCCGCCGTCAGGATGGGCTGCCAGGCCGGTAGCCGCTGCTGCTTGAAGGCCGTGTTGTCGGGCTTGCGAGTCTTCACGGCCCCCCCTCCGCCGCCGCTGCCCACGGCACCGCCGCCCGGGACGCCGACGCCGCCCGAGGGGTGCCCGTCCGCCTCCTCCTTGGCGCTGTAGTTCACCGCCATGGCGCCCGCACCACCGGCACCGCCGCACACGTGACCGGGTACCGCGCCTGCGCACTCGGCAGCGGCCGGCGCGCGGCTGGTGACGCAACGGGCCGCGCCCTTCCTTAAAGGGCGGGATTAGGGAATCGTGGGGTCATAGAGACTGGGAGAGACTTGGGAGGTTATGCTGTACTACCACCAGCATGCGGTACTACCACTGTAACCCCCGAGCCTCTAAACCGCAGCACCCTGCGCCAGATCCAGACGCCTCTTAAACACGTCCAGGGATGGTGACTCCATCACCTCCCTAGGCAGCCCATTCCAATGCCTCAGCATACTAACAGTGAAAGTTTTTTTCTGATAATTTATCTGAATTTTCCCTGTCTCAGTTTCAGGCCATTTCCTCTTGTTCTCTCACTGCAGGAACGGCAGAAGAGATCGACCTCCACCCCACTACAGCCTCCTTTCAGGGAGTTGTAGAGAGCGATGAGGTGCCCCAGGAGCCTCCTTTTCTCCAGGCTAAACAACCCCAGCTCCCTCAGTCGCTCCTCAAATGTTTTGTGCGCTGCTGAGCTGGGCAGGGCTCTGGGCAGGGATCTCCTGTATTACACATAGGGCGAAGTTAAATCCAGCCGTCTTGTGCCCCACGGTCCGGGCGAGGCCTGGGCCCGCAGCCTCCTCACCCCGCCCAGCGCTCCAGGAGGACCCCCTCCCGCCCCTCGTCCTCCCACTGCCATGGGGAGGGGTGCTGGTAAAAGGCAGCATCCAAGTCGGTTTCAGCTTCCGTTTCAGCTTCTTGCTCTCATAACTAGGATTAGTGCAACTATAGAGATGTAATAATGCAGGAGAGTTATCTTAATGGAGCCATGCGTGCTAACCACCACTTTTGGTCAGCTGTCAGGAACTGTGTGACTAAATCAGTGCAGTAAATTGAATTGATCAGGTTGGAAGGGACCACAGAGGGTCATCTAGTCCAACTTCCGTGGTCAAGCAGGGTCATCCTACCAGGCACATCACACCAGACTGCATCCGAAAGGTGCTTGAATGTCTTCAGTGAGGGAGACTCCACAACCTCTCTGGGCAATCTGTTTCAGTGAATGGTCATTTGCACAGTAAAGTTCTTCTTCATATTCAAGTGGAACTTCCTGTGCATCAGTTTCTGCCCGTTGCTTCGTGTCCTATTGGTTGGCACCACTGAGAAGAGCCTGGCTCCATCCTCTTGACACCCTCCCTTGAGATACTTAAACATATGGATATTCCTGTCAGAGTTGTTGCATTGCGCTTAGGAGTTAATCTGATTGCATTACACAGAATCACAGAATCACGGAATCGATTAGGTTGGAAAAGACCTCTGAGATCATCAAGTCCAACCTATGACCAAACACCACCATGTCAGCAAGACCACGGCACTAAGTGCCACGTTCCAGTCTTTTCTTAAACACCTCCAGGGATGGTGACTCCATCACCTCCCAGGGCAGCCTACTCCAATGCTTAACACCCTTCCTGTGAAGAAACAGTCATCTTGTGGAACACAGTATGGGAATATGTATTTGTATCCCAGAATACCTGCCTTAGGAGGCTTTCCTTACCCTAATGCAACACTGAAAGTCCGTGTTTCTCACTTTATTGGCACTTCTGCATTACTCTTTGTGAGGACTCTGTAGTCCTTCCTCTGTAGTCTCTAGAGTGTAACCAATATCCACTTTCAGCAAGTATTATGTATTTACTTGACTTTAGGGGAAAATAATTAGAATTATTTAATAACTTTAAAAGCATGTAGTTCCAGTCTTAAGACTTTTTAGCTGCCTGTAGAACAGTTTCCCTAAAATAAATGCCTTTTAGTTCTCTGGAACAGCAAGAGTATCAGCCAAGACCACTGGGGGGAGCAACTGACTTGTGCAAATGAGCCTCTGCGGAGGCTCAAAAGGCCTCTTGTCATAGACAGCATAGGGAATTTAGACATATAAGCATCTAAAATTTAAGAATTAATTCGGTGACTAAAAAACTGTATAGGGTACAAAAGTTAATCATATTCCTCGTGTCATCCGTGGTAAAACTACATCTCATTCCTAGTTAATCTTTTCCATTATCTTGTGGGCCCCACCTTTTGCTTCCATTCCCCATAGCTAAGCTGCTTGTCCCTAATATCACCCTTTTCTTTATTATATTCTGTTTTCCATTACCACCTTCAGCTATAGCAACACTTAGTCCCACAGCCTTACAGCGAATCAGGGAAGCGCAACCTGGGATCCCAAAGGAATAAGACTGCTTGTAAATCTGTGCTGAGAGATGGCAAGAAATTTCTCTGGCAGCAGGATAGCTGAGAGGTGATATTGGGAAGCTGGGACCTGATGCTGCCAGGTGTGAGAGGACTGGCAAGAAAGGACATGTTAAAATTGTCCAATTATATTTCACAGCAAGGAAAACTCACAGGCTGCATAATTTCTCCCTAGAAATCAAAGTATTTGAGATTTTTTAATGGATCGAAACATTGTATTTTATCACCTATAACTATACCCACAGAGGTATTTCAGTCCTCTTCAGACAGGAAGAGATCTTTAAGAGAAAAGTATATCTTTCACTGGTTTTCTATTGCTTAAAAGCTACTGATATCTTTAGCCCAAGGTAGCCTCTACATTGTCTTAGTCTGAAAGCACTTCCTGATTACCTCCTTTAGGATGACAATACTTGCAGCAATTAATCACCTTTAGTCTATATTAATAGATTTCTTCCTGAGTGTCTCTGAAATACAGGCTAATTATGTGGCTAATGCACTTTTATTACTTATTTGTCTTAGATTCATATCCAAATAAGGTAATGTAAAAAATTGACCAGGAACATAAATGCATTGAAGATGAAATCACCAGCCTCCTACTCCAAAGTGCTGCAGCTCATCAAAATTATTTTAAAATCTAAATTATTTCAAATATATCTTGAAGTATTTATGCTTTAAACAAACCTTTATTTTGTGAAGCTTAAAAACTTAATGTATTTGCAATTTGTTTAGGTATCATAAACTTACACTCATACTGAAGTGGCTTCATATTAAAATCTAGACAAGGTAAAATATTTTCTACTTTGATTTGGACCTTTTAAATGTAGATTCAATTTCAGAGTATGATTTTACTTATGCCTTACTCATATTTAAAAGCTGAAGTTTATTTCAGACGTATCACCATCACTTTCAAATAGCCAGGAATTTCATTCCAGATGAGCTCAGTGTAGATCTTAACACATATAGGTTTTGATTCCAAAGTGATGTTTTGAAAATAGAAGATCTGGGTCACTACAATATTCATTCTACTGAGCAGTAAACACTGTGTGGCACACACTAAACTTTATTCACTTCAGCTGTATTGCTCTCTGAAAGCTGGAATTGTTCTTGGGTTGCTCTACATTATGATCTACAGACATAGCTATGTTATTGGCATACACTGTCTGCTGTACAAAAAAATCCACTCCTTAAAAAACATGGTGTACTAGCTAAGCATAAGATATACCAACAAAATTACTCTTTCGCCAGGATAAGCAGCACTTATTTTGATTCCTCAGTATAGCGGTATTAGCAAACTCTTTACAATGGAGATCAACTCCAAAGCAGATCCCAGAATATCCTGCTTCTCTACAATGTCAGCATTTGCTGCAGAACTCCTTCTACAGAAGGAAAAACAGCTCCCATGGCTCTAATGGAGATCAAATTGAATATACAGCAGTGCAATATTCCAGCTTCGAAGACAGACTGACCTAGTCATCCCAGTGGGATGCTGAGTTAACGCACTCTTTCTGGCATCTCACAGCACATCTTCTTCAAGCATCACCATTTTCTCTTCCAAAAAAGTAGTTTCTCCCAGTAGCTTCTGCAGTTAAAAAATCTGCAGTATTTTAAATATGTGCCAGTGACTTATATTAAAAATAATTGATTATGCAATGTATAAGAAAAAAAAGACCCTGCCTGGGTTGTATGTAGTTTTAGATATAATTAATTCAAAAATCATCTTAAGTATAGCTGCCACAGAACTCTCTGGATGCTACTTGAGAAGCTACAGCTACCAGTGTAAAAGGGGCCCTTCAGCATGTGCAGAGTGCATGGTGTCTAAGTTTTACAGTCCTGCTAGTCCAGGACTAAAGATTCTGACTGTACCAGTCAAACAATCTCTGCCAGTGCTGTGATGCACAAGATTAGAAACAATCAAGTCATTAACAGCTTAGTGATTCATCCCTCTCCTTAATTTCTGAGCCTACAAGAAAGATGGAGAGAGACTATTTAGAAGAGCATGTAGTGACAGAATAAGGAGGAATAGTTTCAAACTGAAAGACAGTTTAGATTACGTATTAGGAGGAAATTCTTTAGTGTGAGGGTGGTGAGGCACTGGAACAGGTTGCCCAGAGAAGTTGTGGATGCCCCAACCCTCAAAGTGTTCAAGGCCAGGGTGGATGGGGCTCTGAGCAACCCAGTCTAGTGGAAGGTGTCCCTGCCCACAGCAGGGAGTTAGGAACTAAATGATCTTTAAGGTCCTTCCAACCCAAACCATCCAAACCATGAATCAGTTTTACTCTGTACATCACTGTGACACCATATGAGACACAAGTCAGAAAAAGGAACTTCCAAACCCATAATTCTGTCCCCATAAACAAATACACAGATGAGCACTGCCAGCCTTAAGCAACTGGAGTTAAAATGCAAACACTTGATTATATTTGCATAGTTGTGAAAATTTATTAGTTACAGTGTAATGAAAATCAACCTTTTTTTGGTACAGGCAGAAGTAAAAACATACTTTACATTAAAAAAAATCACAGCTTTAAAAACTGGCTTACACTGTTTAAAATGAGCAAATCTGGTTGTATTTCAAGGCATTGGACTTTAATACCTAATTTTATGCCAAACCATCACACAGTGCAAGAAATATTCTGCAATAGTACAAATTCCATACAGCAGTGCTGAATACTTTTCCATTTAAACTCAAAACATTGCTGTAGTTACATTTTTCTTTACATACTCTCTATTACAAAAATATCAAATTGCAAATTTAACAGTGTATTCTACAAATAAATGCGCCATGAGCAACAGGAATTGCAACTTTGGGACAGTTACTTTACAAAGTGTATTATAAAAATAAATTATATGGCAAATATCAAACAAAATCAAGCACATGCCTTAGGCTTTGCAAATAAAAGTGAAATTCAGCTGGCAGAAAGACTGCTTCTCTCTCTCTGACTAGGTACTTTCAAAATGCCAGCAAGGCCCTTCATTTTTAAAGCCCTACCAAGAGAAAAAAATATATAAAATCTAATGGAAGCACTAATACTTCCACGAATAGTCAGTAGCACAAGTGACCCTGGTGTTGATGGCAGGGAGCTTTACAGTGATCCATCCCACGGGCGCGGAGGGTAGTGCACACAGGGAGCTCTAGCGGGGCCGTAACTCATCTAGAGTTCATGCGTAACTGGTGAATGATGACACTCTCTAAAAGAAAAGAGAGCAAAACATTTGGGTTTATGAAACTGCAAAAGCATTCATTGCAAGTTACTTTAAAGAAGAACAATTACAGTGGCAGTGCTAGGCATTTTTCTAGAAACGTCTCACAGACTTACCCTCACATCGCTGCTTGATAAAACTGTCCTGTTTAATGCTAGAGAGGGAAACTAAATTAGTTCCTTTTTAGGGCCCAGAGCCCCCTGGCTTCCACTTCAATGTCAAGACTATCATTTGGTCATCCATAGGGAAAAGAGAAATACAGTTGAACGGATTAAACCACAGGGACACTAAAGTTCCAGTTCCACAAGGAAGACTTGGAGTTGGATGTCTTGTACCCTAAGTAAATCCATTATAAATCTGATGGCAATTCGGAAATGGAGATGAGGAAGACGTATGGGGTCATTTCTCACTTTTTTTATTTAAACTTGGCTTACAAACCTATGCTGGATTTATTCAGCAAGTCTTCTTGAATTTGCTACTGACTTTAATGGGGATAAATTTCAGCCACAGTATGCAAAACTAAGTGTTGGCCTTTTCTTTGAAAGGCTGGATTTAACTTATATTATATTATATATATTATATATATATTATATAAATAATATAGGAGGTCCCTGATCCTGATTAATCCCTGGCTCTGCTGAAGTACTAATGACCTGGTCTGTTCTTCTATTCTATATACATGGCTCTTACACTTTTTTAATATAAGAATTTAGCTATCAATGACATTTTTCTCTGAAAAATTGTGTTTTATGCAGGAAATTATTTTTCTTAAGATTTCTTCCCTTTTTAACAGTCTTAAGATTTTTCAAGATTTACACGACCCAAGAAATGACACTAATCAAATCATTATTGCCTTTGACATTTTTATTGACTTCTGCTTCAGTTTGCTTCCTAACTAATATTTGCAAGATGTTTAAGTTACATCATAAGAAGAAAGAAAAATGAAAATATTTTCCATGTACTCTTAGTGCCAGAACTTTGCCACTAGATGGCAGATCACAGTGCTGATGGTGATTCCTGACTCAGAAAAGCAGTGCTTAGGCAACATCCAAGAAAATACGTTAAAGCAAATGAAATAATAGAATTTCCCAGAGTGAAAGGATTTATTTTCCATACAATTTATCATTAACAAATGATTTTCAACATCTTAGATATGTATACCAGTTCTACCATATTTGAGCAGTGAATGTGAAAGAATCACAGACTACTGTATGAATTTACCTTACAACCACTGCTGTTCTAGCTTGAAGCTCTTGTGAAATATTATGTTAAAATCTGCATTTATATAATATCAGACTGTAACCTCAGGCAAACTCTCCCCTAATTTCAATGGGAGTCATGTGAACTCTAAATGAAACAATTAATTTCTTAATATTCACTATGCACATTATATATTAATATGGAGTTTAGACACAAAATTCTAAAAACTAAATGGGTAGCAGAAAAATATCACACTCCTTGTTAAGGCTCAGTCACTGAATGAACAGCAAAACTACAGCAGGTTTCTCAATCAGTCTTCCTCCTACAGGCCCAATATAGCAATTTTGCATAAGAGTAGGAGAAACAATTTTTAAAAAATCAAATAATTGTCTATCAGTTGTTTGTATTTGAAATGCTTACATATATATAAACATATATATTACACACACACACATACTGTAGTTATTAAAAGAGGTGTCTGAGCAGCTATTAAGCTAAAATTAGAGTAGGGCACATTTTGTAAGAGTTCTTTTGGACCAGCCTCTGTAGGAATATGATTATATCAGAATGATATGATTACATAATTTTTTTTAGCATTATAGATGTGAATAGTTCCAGGAGCTATTAATTAACTTAAACAACTGATTTTCATGACAATTAACGTGAAACAGCTAAATCTGCTTTCAGTCCCACTGATGTAAATCAGAACTTCTCCAGGAAACACATCAGGATACCAGTTCATATAATGAAGCACATAAACTGACATTTTAACATACAAAGTTTAATTTCTTCTTACAATATATACAAACAAGTAACACCAGATAATACAAAAATCTATGTGCAACAGACAGCACATGCCCAAGCAACAGAAGAGTACATACATCAGTAATTCTATTTTTAAAATCCCAATGAGAGTTTCACACCTGAGTGTTTCACACCTGACTCCCAGAGCTGATAGTTCTGAACCTCACAGTAGTTAACCCTGGTGGCATTTTCAAAAAAAAGCCAGGTGAAGAGCAGTGTGTAGAGAGTAAGATTCAAAGTGAAGTTAACATCTGTAATGAGAAATGTTGCATATAAATTTGCCTGAGGGAGCTCAGGCAAAATTAAGGGAATAAGGATAACTCATACTGATGTTAGGGGAAAAAGCCATTCCCCTAAATGAAAACAAGTTTGAAAGATGAGCTCACAGAAACTCCTGCCAACAAACTACGTATTTCAAAGCAACTCAGTGAAATTGGCCACTGATGTGTGATGGGAACATATAATTGGTCTTAAAATTGTCCTGACTGTTGCGGTTTATGCCAAGTACCTGAAACCCAGCAGGACAGTAGCTTACTCTCTTTAAAGACATGCTCTTCCACATCTGATCAGAATTACTGAATATTCACGTAAATATTGAGCATGTTTTTGAACATGAGTAGTGTATTTCAGGCAGTGACCTATGACTTGGCATCCAGTTGGCATGAATCAATATATTAATGTGGCTTTAGAGATTACTCACATGATCCTAATTACTATTAGCCATAAGTGGTTTGCGGTTTAAATACAGTAACATGCAGATTCTGTGGACATATTCAGAAGAACCACAAAGTGTTGTTTGATTTTTCAAAATTCACACTAATGGGTGTCACAAAAGGAAAAACAGTGGGCAAAATAAATGAAAATCTGTTTTTCCTCTACCATTAACTTAGCATGTTTACCAATCTTGAGAGAAATCCTTCAGGCATGACGGTTGAAGCTCTGTGCTCCTTCATTTTTAGTCACACTTACTCAAATGTATTGATCTGCTAATGACTACATTAGCAATACTCACATGTAGCAGTAATTCTGGTGATGGGATCCAACGTAGGAAACACAGTAAAAAACTTATTAGGAACTAAATTTAAAATCAGAGAGATCACTTGGAGTACTGAGGGTGCACCTTCTCGGTCCATGTGTGCTGCTCATGAAGGAATTGGCATTTTCCCTGCTCTTCCCCCTCTTCACCTTACTGCTGTCCTATGTTTCCATTGCTTGGCTTATCACAACTGCTTATATGGCCATGCCATCAGCCAAAACAGGATATCTCTCCAGCTGATGTTGAAAACGACTAAAAATGCAAAGACTGGTTCTCAGCCACCTTAGTTTCCTGACGAACCATTTTAGCTATCATTATGACTCTGAGTTGAGTGTGTTTTGCTATTGAAATTGTTCCACTTCATTAAAAAAATAAAAACCAAACAAAATGACAGAGAAAAAGGTAAGAGCGAGAAAATATGAGGATGAGTGATTCCAGATGATCACTTAGGAAAGCTTGTTATCTGCATTATAATCCACTAACGTAGAATACAAAAAAGCCCTATAAATAAAGGCTCTAGTATTTTCCCATGGATTGGTGTATCAGAGTTGGATTCTTTGTTGCCTTGTCAAATCTGAGGTTTGAACAAAGCTTGTCCTTGTGGTACTTCTGACATCACTCTCTTGTGTTCATTCTTTGATGCTGTATGAAGGTGAGCTCATGCTCTACTCTTCCACACAGTGGGGCACTGCTAAGATCTTGCTCCTCTTCTCTGCCACACTTTTCATTAAACTGGAAAAACTTCTTATTCTGAAGACCCCTATTGCTTTGTTAGGTTTGGTTGAAATTGGTTGATCTGTTCAGTGTTATTCATCAGGGAAGGACAGATGGAATGATGGACGAACACAGACACTTCATCTTATAAGCTTTTTTTTCACAAAAGGCTGGGCTCAAAGGCAGCCTTTGGAACAGGGACATGAAAACAGGGGGGCTCCCTCCTCCTAGTTCAATATCCTAACCACTCAACCACTCACTTGTTTCTGTTCAGTGAATACTGAAGCACTTCATGCAGAACAGCACAGCCTTCAAAGGAGGGAATAAGAATGCCACCTTCTTCCCCCCCTCAGTCTGTCAGTGCCATTGGTGAACCTGCCTGTAGCTGATGTGAGTTTGAGTCTCCTCAGGTATTGCTGGGAAGAGGGGTCTGCCTCCTTCATTTGAAAAAAGGTTTCAATCAAAAACTTTTTAAAATAAGCAGCACTACCCCTGCATTTCTGTGGTATTTATCTACTAGGAAGCATTCATGATTCCAGTCACTTTAAAACAGCCCCTGGTTTCCTGTGCCTTCCTTCTTGTTCTGGCCTGAGAGCCTGGAACTAAGCTATATTGAAGCTAACCTTCCTTTGTTTTGCCAGATTCCTTTTAATTCAGATCAGTTCCCCAGTTAGGTTCAAACACTTGTGCCAGCTCAAGGGACAACCACATGTTGAGTGACTAAGTGAGCACTTTCTTGGCTGGAGATGACAAAGACAGGACTACAGCTTTTCACTCCAGTGTGGGATTACATCCTGACTTTAAGTGACCATGAAATTGTGGCTTGACATAGAAGCTCTTAGAAGAAATACAGGAATACCTGGATTATGGATCTTGGTGAGGTTCAGAGGCTGCAGTGCTAGAGTTAACTCACAACAGAAACACTGACTAGACAAAGGCAGTGGAAGAACATCAGGAAGATCTTCAGGATGCCTCTGGGGCTTAGACACTGTCTTTAGACTTGGTTGTTTAAACTGCCTTCTGGACCTGACCTCTTGAATGGAGAATCTTACTGTAGTCACTAAACATAATTGCCTTCAGACTTGGAGGAAATTCCAATATAATACAGAGAGTTACACTTCAAATTTTAAGACTTCTGAACTATAGGCTTTCTTTTTTCTTCATCTTAACCTTCTTCTACCTTTAAGAAACAAGGATAAGTTCAATTAAAACAGATGTTAAAATTTATAACTAATATCTATTTTTAGCTAACAGTTAAACCAGCTGCCTGATTCTTTAGGTTTCTACTGTGGAGCAAAAGTTCCTTTTTGTTGTGCTCCCCCTCAGAAAAATAACAGGATCCTCAGTCTGACCTGTCTGGAATTTCTCAAATCTGTCTCATCAAATCCTACTGACGCCACAGGAGCAATCCCCAGATTGTGCCTGCAGTTCTGGCTCTAGTTGAACCATTTTGTGTGCCCTGGACTTCAGGTACTGTGCGGCTGGCTTGTTTCTTCAGGTGAATTAGTTTCTTAGACCTCAAACAAAACCAAATTTTTCAACCACAGGCACGCACAGAACATCGCCTTGAGTGCAGCGACAGTTAACTAAGGAACTAAGTTTCTTTGACATAAGGAAGGCTTAAAAGGCAGCTGTAGTTCATCACTGTATCAAGCCACATTAGCTCGGGGCTCATGTTCACAATATTATTTAAATGACTGTTTTGACCTTAAGACTTGTTTCAGTGCCAGTATTTAGAGTGAATATCCAGCAAAAAGCTCTTAAAAATGTGTTTTCTTCAAACATCTGTTAAAAAATCCGTGTTACAACAAGAACAGTAAGATCTCAGCAACAATTTATTGACATACTGAGGCTTTCAAGTGATAAGAATTACTTGAGAGCATCTGATGTATTTCTGAAACCGTAACTCACATTGCTTGATAATTCCAGTTTCCAAGTTTTATCTGAAATACTGAATAGGGTGTTAGGAAAAATACTACAAATATTAATCTGATTTTTGGATGTCATAGGAACCAGAACCTTGGAATTAACAGGTACTGTAGGTGCTACATATGTAAAAACCCCAAAACCTACTTCTTTTTTGATGTGGCAAATTAAAAAATGCCCTTCATGCAAATAATAAAATACCAGCTTTATGGTCAGCTAATTGCTATATCTGGATCTTAAACTGGAGAGTAATGCAAATCACAGACTGAAAACTAAACACTGCTTGGATGAATATAATTTTGTTGACTTTATGTGACAGATTCTTCCATCAAATCTCTTCTAGACAGAAAGCCATTTCATATTTCACCCACTGGTGCATTTTCCTTTCTGTGAATTGTATTTATTATTTACGGGTGGTCTTCCCGCCTTGCTTTCTGAAAGCTGTTTCAACCACTGGGTCCTTCGCAGCTTGCTGAGATGGTTGAAGCATTATACAAACTTTAAACCCAACACTTATCAGTCTGCTTGGCTCCATTTCTTTTGGCTGAGATTTTCTTCTGTGGAAATTGATCGCTTAATGGAAATGTCCTTTAATAACTTTACTGTTATTAAATAAAAAATCATAACAATCATGGGCATCCACACTATTTCCATGCTGGAACAATTCCTTAAAACATGCTTAAAAAATGCAAGCATATAAATGAGGAAATTACAAAGAGGGAAGGAAAAACAATTAATCACCATGGTATTGTGAGGCAGTCTGTATTTATGACAACATATTATACAGAACTGAAAAATGAGACTAACTTCCTTATCAAACCCTCTCTCTTTCACTGTCTGTGCCTGAGCTGTGCCTTTAGATAGCAATTCCTGCCACCAGCAGTCTGTATTGACTTCCCCTCTAAGACATACAGATGTTTGACAACTAAGGTTTAAATATAAGATCCCAACAAAGAAAACAACAACTGAAAACCTAGTCAAGTCAACAGAGTGACTTGCTTCATAGTGTTAGTGATCTTTGGAGCAGCCATAAATGGACAGTACTGATTTTAGCCAGATCAGTGTTTCTTCAGCTTTGCTAAAGACTAAACACTTTTTGGCTCACGTAGCTTCATCTGAGCACTAAGCTGGCAGTACCCAGTGTGTCTAAGTCAGGGACCTGGTTTTGCGTACTGTCTACAAATGTTAATCCCCTCTGGAAGAATTAAATTGGTGCTTAACACTGCTGCTGCCAAACATTGTGCTACATCCCTTTGCCCCTGAATTCTGTAACTATCTTGAGAAAGCACCTCACCACTGAGAAACACTGACTCGGATGGGAGGCTCCTCAAGAGAAGGCGGGTCACACAGTGCCCATCTTTTCTCTCTTCCCCTCCCTCCCACAGCTGAGGTACTAGCTTTCAGTAAAACAGGACCTCAAATGCACTGTCTCCTGACATTGCTTCCCTAGGCCAAGTGGCATTTCAATAATGTGATCACAGGCAGGAAGGAAAGTGTCCCATGCAGTAGCAAAGGTGGAAAGTGATCTGCTAAGGTGAAAGACAACCAGTAAAAGTGACTGAACTTCCTTCAAATGACCAAGTCCATCATTAAGAATTCCTGAACTAGATTAATAACCTAGTTTAGCTGCACCATTCTCATTTCCTAGACTGAAAATCTTCCTGGCATACAAGAACTGCCTTTATGATGGCTTTTTTTCCCTTTTTTAAACTTGAGTTGAAGAAAACAAAAGGATATTGTTACTTAAGTAGTCAGTGCACACACTTATTAGTTTTTTGTAAGTGACAGCTGCAGGGCTTCATTAGTACAGGCAAACGTGAGGAACTACACAGACGGGGGGGCTGACTTCCATGGGAGCAGTAAAACCTGCAGAACGTACCCCCTGAGCCACTGCCATCAGCCCTGACCCCCGCCCAGGGAGGCAGAGCTGCTGGCTGAAGATTTCTTCAGTTCTATTTTCATAGACTGAGTCTCGGCACGAGGCTCGAATTTTGTCACATTTCCTGCTCCCGGGGCTGCCACTACTGGCTTTCCTGCTTTCATACCTTTTGACACAGGAATGCGGGTGGGTGTAGGTCTCGAGGATGACCCATCCTGGCCTGTCTGCAAAAGAGAGAGACAGAGAAAAATGCCATGAATGGAGGACTTTTTCTTCTCATATATTCTTACCTTACACTTTTCATTGGTTTTCCATTTATCTCTTAAAACAACACTATTCCAAATCAAGTAATGTTCACATTTGGAATCTGGCTGTGGCACATACTGCTAGAATATGGCTGAAGGTACAGTCAAGATCAAATGAGTTTCCCAAATCTGAGGTCCAGTGTTTTGGATCAAGATGGGATCAGGATGGGAATCGTTGCAAAACTCCCATTCCACAGCACAACACAGTGCAGGCTGACCTTAGAGGATATCAGAACACTGGCTTAGTTGTCAGACAGGTACAACATTAGCATTGTGTACAGAGACTAACAAGGGTCCTCAAAACAGTATAGCCATGTGAGGCTAACACTGAACCCAGGGTAACTGCCATATTTTCAGAGCTGGGGCATGATAGCTCAGCATTATAGATAAAATTGAATTTTACTTCACAAAGTATGCTGGGGTCATGTCTGGGCCCACTTATTTCTGCACTGGAAGAGCAGGGGGGTTGAGAGAAAGAGACAGAGCAAAGATTGGGATTTCCTTTTCCTGTGACTGTGGTAGGAAGGATGAAGGAAAAGGCTCTCCCCCTCTAGCCCTACCCACAACTTGATGAACTCTCGTGAAGGCGTAATCCCAGATTTCCAGGGATACCTCATGGCAATGTGGACATGGTCATTTTACTGTTTCTGCCAATCTGCTGCCCTGGCCAACAGCCTACCAAGCACACTTATGCTCAAGTGTGAGTACTTCAGAATTAAAAAAAAATATATAAAAATGGCCTAAGTGGTTGGTCTGGGGCTGGCAGACCCAACATGGCTCATGTGCCCTTCTGGAGTCTGAGACGGAGGCCAGGTCAGAGCTATCCCATAGCTTTGAAACTGCAATCAGTTCATATGCTTAGGCAACTGAATCCCACCCTATAAACGCACAAGGAGTACTTGGATAGGATAAAAAGATTCAAAAGGGCCAATTGCATTTTCTATCTCTGTTGGCCAGATAATGATGCACGTACTCTGCAAGGTCAAAACTGGAAGCTACCCCCTATGAACCATGACCTAAAGAGAATACTTCTAAACATGACAATCCTGAAAGGAAAATGGGCTTTATCTCCTGCAGTGTGCAATACAGACACAAATGTTCATGGTGACAACTTCAGTGTCTCGGCTGACTTTCATATGTGACTGTTTTCTGTTCAGATAATGGATGAAGACTTTGATCTAATGAAAGAGAACAATTCTTATAAGATCCTGGAATTCTAGCTAGGCCCATCTGCTAAATTACTAAACCCTGTAACCTATGACACTTAAGTAAAATAAAACTAAACTACTGAAATAGATTCGATTAAGTGATCATGTCAGCTGCAACAAGTATTTGCATATTTACTAAAAAATGCTTGTAAAAATGCTCAACAAAGGAGCACTTTTCTCTCTCCAACATTTTTCAGTCAGTAGCATCAGAGCTTTCGGTCTGCATCCTGAGTATGCAAAGGAAAACCATTCCTTAATCTTCTAAGGACAGTTCAAAACCCCATGTGTATACTCAAAAAAAATCACAATTGGAAAACTTGAATGCAGTCTGCTTGACAGGAAGGAAGCCATTTTCAATAACTAAAAGCAACATTTACAATAGCAGTGTAAAGGCTAATATGGAACTCACATGTAGATGTCAAAACAAGTTAGGCCCATACAATTGTGTAGGGCAAAACATGCAAATGCATTCCATCAGCCTTGGAAAATATGTCAACATCCCAGGGAACCCAAATGACAAACATCTTGTGCTCCCTGAAAGAGTTCCACAGTGTGTAAACATGAGGCAATCAAATGGAGTAGCTGGAATCTCAGGCATTTCTTCAGCTCTATTCACATGTAAATTATTAACTGAGGATTTGGTTGCTTTCAAGTTACTCATTTCAAGCCTAAATCACTCAAAAGCACTTTGAAAAGAACTCTAACTTGGTTTAAATTTCTTAGTTGCCTTCCTTACAGCATACTAACATGTTCATCCTATGGAAGCTAATGCCTGCTTCACACGCAGCTGCTAAAGTATTTTGTGTTTGCCAAGTGAAATGGCACAAAGGTGCCTCTCCAGCCTGCAGTCCCCTCTGGTGCGTGACGGGGCAGGCAAGCAGAGGACACTCTCCCCTGTGTCTGTCCTGTCTGGCAGAAAACCCACACTGCTGTCTGTCTCTTCGTCATTCCTTCCAAGAAACAAACTCTAGGCCATTCCTTCCAGCCCTGTTTGTCTGTAGGCTGCTGCCTTTTGCTTGATCCAGGAATGTGGGTCCAAACAGAAAGGATCTCTTACACAGCTGGCATGGAGCACACAAGATGAGACCCCATGGGATGCTGGGTGATGTGGGCTGGCTCTGAGCTAGTGAGGCATTATGCGGTGTTGGAACACCATGGGGACTCGAGTGAGGTTACTAAAGACATTACTGAGAGCGGGATGAACACACACAACTGCTGAGCTGGTTTAGTCAATCATCAGCCCTCACCGAGGACACTGGCTGGTTTTATTAACCTGTGAAGTTGCAATAAGGCTGGACAGTCCCATTAAAGGAAGAAAAGCAATCTGAATGTACAAAACATTTACCATGTTTTAGTAGTTTGTAACAGATCTTGCTTGGTGCATTTTACTGACACACACCAGTGCTTTCATGCACACATTGACTTCTGGAATATTTTAAGAAAAAAGGTGATTTTCAGCTTTTGTTCCTGATCTGATCAGGGCCCAGCTTGCCCTGGGCAGAAATGGTTCAGTTCAGTGACTAACAGTCACCTAGTGTAATTTGAGATGCCCTGGGCTACTCAACCTAGAGCTGGCAGATAAGCCGCAGGACCCAAGGAGACATGCAGTCTCTGATAAAGCAGCTGGAAGTTAGGCAGGCACTTAAAATGACACTAAAAAAGTATGTTTAGGCAATTGCATCCTGAAAGAGTGGGACTGGAGTAGCCAATACAGTCAGTGGACCTCAGTGGGCAATTCAGCTCACACTGAAGCTAGCCATGTCCCAGCTGAAATCACGCTCCAGTCTCCACGGAGCCAGCACACAGGCCTCAGTGATGACAAGGGGACTGATGACAACAGGCTGGCTCAGGTGCCCACACTGAGGCATCCTGTGCCATCTGAGGTGTCCCATCAGCTGCCATAGCAGAAAGGTACAGGTCTGTGCTGCCTCCCAGCCTCATGACACGCATGCCACAGGACACACAGCCACCACCACACACCTCTGCACAGGCAAATGAGCTGATCCCTGGATCTCCAGCAGCTCTTAGCAGATGCTTAGAGCATATCTGGGTCACCTACAAAGAGCTACATTTAGATGCCGACCTCAGACTAAATGCTGCCCAAATGAAAGTAGCCTTATAGCTGCATAAATGTGTGTCTAGTTCGCTCTGGCACCCAACAGCCTCTCAGCTGTGCCTTCCTGCTCCAGTCACAGGACGCTCTGCATGGTTGGTGCTGTGCCACTACGCTGGCTCTGCTGCAGCCAGGATTCCTTCTGCTTCCTGCAGATTTGCATGGCACTGAAGTCACTGTGGAGCCTGACAGCATAAACAGCTGGCACTGATGTCAGGCTTGTAGGAGGTGGGGAGCACAGGGATTATGTGATTATAAGACCAACACCTATCCTGGTAGCCAAAGAAGATCCAAATTCACCAGCAATCCTACAACCAAATACAAGACTTGAATCAAAAAAACAGGATATAGGCACCACAGTTTGTTTGGGGTTTTGTCCACAAAGAATATTTGTTTTTATTCTGTGGGATTTTTACTGTAAACTGTATGAACTGTCCAGGGAACAGGAATTTGGGCCAATGTGCTAAGGCAAGACTAACAACCAGGCTACAGTTTCAGGCTCATTTTGGTCTCCATATACTCTGTGGTCCACCTGTAATAAAAAAATAATCTCCTAGTTCTGCTAGGGTAGTTCAAGTATCTCCCTAGGAGTGTGTTTGACTCTAATCAAGCTAAGGAGAACCAAGCCCCGTTTTCTATTTCTGTGGGAACTGTCTAAATCCATAGGCTGCCATAGAAAAGGCAATTATCATTTTAGGGTTTGGTTCCTTTTCTTTTTTTTTAATCAAAGTGGTGATGGTTCTGTTAAACGCAGAACTCAATCCAACTGATCAAATAGGCTCCATCACATCAGCTCCTACCATGGAGACCCCTGTGGGACTGTTGGGATGAGACGGGCTGCTCAGCTGGCCAGCCCTGGGCTTGTCCAGCAGGCACAACATGAAGCACTTCCAAAACATTTGAGTCCAGTGAGTCCAGGTACCAGTGGAGATATTGTCACTGAGGGGTGCCTTTTTTGATTCTTCTTGATTAAATGCTCAAAAATTTCTCATGTTCTCCTTCAGATGCCTGTGTCTTTTTGGACAGGGTCTCATATAATAAAATATAAATCTCTAGATACTCTATAGAGTATGTCAGTGTAAATCAATGCAACCAGAACCCCTCTTAATCCATGGGATTCATGGGATTCAAAAATCATGAGGGTGCACAATGAAATCACAGACTCTGGTTTTGGACTCACATATGCAGAGAGACACCACAGTTCAGGCTGAACATTTAAAAGTACTGTGTGTGCACACTGAAGATAACTCAATAAATTCAAATGGGGAAAACTAAATGTTTTCAAACAGGAATACAGTAACTGCAAATCTGTTATAGGAACAGATGAGAGCTAGGAATTTCAGACTTCCCCTTTGTAGCTTGGCACTGCATTAGCACATTGTACAAAGCATCTTGTATGAGGAACATTAAGACAAAACTTAAACCCAGTGAGCTAAAGAAAGCAGCTGTGTATCAATTTGTCTTGTTTGATTTTATTAACTTAAACCCTCAAAATTGTATCAATGTTGGTTTCTGCTAGGGTTACTGAGTAAATGATCAGATACTTGTTTTTTCTGACTGTTTTGTAAAGTTGTTATTTGCAAAACAAATGGAGAATATGCAACTTGTTTTCTTTTTTGTTTTTTTTTTGCAGGAGGCTGGGGAGGAAAAGGCACATTTGGGCTTGTTTGAAGTTGCCTGCTCATCTAACTAGGGACATTAAAAAGCAGAGGGAAGCATAAGATAAAGTAAATCCTATGGTTGAACTGTTTTCCTTACATTCCAAATCAGGAAGGATGAAGAAAGAAGTCAATTTTTAGCCAGAAAAAAACAAAACAAAAAAGTTTTGTCTGCCATGGTTCAGTGCATCATCACAGTAGACAGACATCTAGTTAAAAAAAAAGTTTAAAAACAAGTTTTCCAAGCTTCTGAGAGACAAAGGAGTTTGTAAATTAATTAATTCAAGACTTTTTAAAAAATGAACAGTTGCCTCTAATATGTAGGAAAGCACTGTACAGTAAATGTACAACAATACATTACATATATGGGGAGAGAGACAGCACATGTGCTACCCCAAACAAATCTGTATGATGAATGCAAGTTTTCTTAATGTCAGAAGGCTTAAATGGGAATGGCAGCCTCTCTGCAAAGGTGTGGAAGTGTATCTTAAATACACTTCGATATTTCAGCTTGGAAAGAGATGGCTGAAGAGGCGTGTTGTAGGGGTCTGTAGACTCCTGAGCTGCATGGACAAATGAACAGGGGATGACTATTCAGTATTTTTCAAGATACAAGAAAGAGGCTGTAAACAATGAAGGTATTGCATAAAAGGTATTGAACAAAAGAGCATTTTTTCCAAAGCCCACAACTGAATTCACTGCCCCATGATGTTGTGGAAACAGCAGTATAACTGAGTTCAAAAAGTAATTTAAAGAATAAATAGAAGAATACTCAGCCACGGTCTATTAAAGACAAAGATGTTGCTACAGGCCCTGGTTCAGAAAGAAATAACCACCTATTGCCAAAAACTGGGAACAGACGCTGAGGGAAACATTACTGTGTGTTTACCTACTCAAAATAATCTTCCCCTAAGCATCTGTTGCAGACTCTGTCTAGCTAAGTAACAGTAAGTTTTTGGACTAATACAGTACTGATGGTTTTCTATTTCGGTCAAATTCTTCTTTCCCAGGGTATTTCCAACTAAAGCAACACAAAACTGCATCCAGCAATAAACCGGGGGAAGGATTATCAATAAATACTGTCCACTGTGGTTAAAGATAGAGGTGAGAAACTGATTGAAGTAGGAAAAGCAAGCTGGGGTACCACCACAGAAGCCCACAGAGAAAGCAGAAAAAAATACGTTAAAGGAAGCACTATTGTAATACAGCACTTGCAGAAGTTCAGAGGAACAAGAAGAGCTTTACTATTCACCAGCTGAAGGAGGCTTGGAGCTGTAAGCAATGATAATATGTCTGCTTACTTATTCCTTTGGAGTTCAGTATTAGAGCAGACATTAACTGAATTATAACTATAATGGGATTATACTGAAGAAACACCAGCCTGCATGATCAGTCTAAAGACCTGCCAGCCGAGCTAAAAAACATGAGGAGTATTTTCAAAAGTCAGGAATTGCACTCACAGAAAATAAAAATACAATTTCCGACTCTGTCATCTCCATCATTCTTTGTCCGTCTGTCTCTCACTTGCAATTTTACTGGATTGCCATTATGAAAATAACTTGAAAGTAACTTTGAAGGGACTTCCTCTGGAAATTACTGCTTTAGGAGATAATACCAAAAGTATATCAGCATCCAATAGTGGTACAAAAATATATGAATCAGGCAAATTCTGATTTTATAATTAAGCTCGTATCTGAAACAAATGTAGGGAAGTCAAGAGTTTCTCCTCACCTCACCCATTTTCCTTCTGATGTCTCAAACCCAAACCAGAGTTGCCCTTCTCCTTACCATGAAGACTACATCATGAGACTAGGCTGCTTACCACTGATTGTGTTCCTCGGGTGGAAGACGTTGTAACAGGTGTTATAGTGATGGTACTTGTCACCTTGCTCGCTGCAGGTCGTGAGGACAGGTTGTTTCGAGGTGATCGAAGGACAGTACCAGTCACAACTTCTTTCTCTGCTGCTATGTTCACTGGTCTCACTGTTATCACAGGACTTGCACCATCAGGTACAGCACTGGGAGAACGTTTAAACTGGGAACCTAAGTGGATGTGGATTTTGTTGTCTTCTGTCGTAATAATGTTGGCATTGGCATTGTACTTGCGGATTGGAGTTGGGACGGTTTGCTTTTCTGGTGTTACTTTGAAGACAGCTCTTCCCATGGTCATATCTTGCGATTGTGGAGAGACAGAGATTTCTGCTGGTGCTGCAGATGTTGATACTGTCATAATCTGAATTGGCGATGCAGGTCTGTCGGCAAAGGGTGCTCTCCCTCCCTCTGGGGACTTTTCCCTGGAGAACGTTGTTATAGTGACTGGAGACATAGAACGATCTGGGCCCATTGGACTTTCACTGCCTTTTCCTTTTTGTGGCATAACGTTTGGAGAGGGAATGATGGTTATTCGTGGCTTCTGATTTCCCAAAGTAGGAATGACAGTGGTACTTGAAAAAAATTCTTCTGCAGTTGGACTGGTTATCTCCAAAGTTGCTGTGCTGTTCTCATGGTCTGGTGTCACCCGAATATGAAGAGGTTGACCCTGTTTTGGTGAAAGGACAACCTCTCCAGGATGTGCTGGACTACTGTGGGTCCGGGCTCCTTTATCAGGAGTTGCCTGAGCCCCAGTTTCCCTCTTTTTCATCCACGGTATCCAAGATTTCCTCATAGCAAGCTCGTTTGCTGCTGGAGGATATCTCTCGAGCACTGAAGAACGCTCCATGGGTTTTTTCAGACCTACCTGTCGCAGATTGCTCATGATATGATTCTCCTCCTGGAAGGATTTTCTTATAAACACTGCTGGAGTTTCTTCTTCTGCTGCTTCATTGCTTACGGCATCTGTCTGCACACCAGTGGATGTCACAGGGACATCGACCATTCTTCGTCCATTTATGCTGGGCCTCAGAGCACGGCTATAACGCTTAGAAAGCTCCAGCTCTCTTGTTAGGTTCAGAACTTCCTGCCCCATACTCTTGTTTTTGTTTTCTTCTTCCATAAACCTTTGCTGCAGAACTGAATAATCAACTTGGAGCTGAGAAAGCTGGTCTTCTTTGTTCATCAGCTCATGGATTTTTTCCTTAAGAGCTTGAACTTCTGCTTTCAAATCTCTGCTTTTGGCCTCTTCCAGACGAAACCTGTGCCTCAGTTCTGCCTCCTGGCTCACCACTTCACCTTTTTCTATTGCTTTGGTTTTGGCAATCTGGAGTTTCATTTCCTCCAACTGTTGAGAAAGAAAGTTAGCTTTATCCTGCTCAGTCCTAAATTTCTGCTCTAGCTGATCATATTCGTCTTCTGTCTTCATCAAATCTCCTTCAACCACTTCCAGTTGTTTAAGGCGTTTTTTCAGTCTTTCAATTTCAACGGTGAGTTCCTTAATCTTATTGTCCTCATGACAACCATGCTCTGGTCCTTTCCTGGTTCGACCTCTTGTAATTTCTCTTTCTACTTCCTCCACACCATCAATTCTTTTCTTTAACAAGTCAACTCTACAGCTTAGTTGAGAGGATTTTTCTTCCTCGCTTCTCAGTTTGCCAATTAACTCATCTCTTTCCCTTGTCAAACTAGACACTTTTTCCTCCATTTCGGATTTCAGTTTCAAAAATTTCTTACTTTCTTCTATCAATTTCTCTGTTACATCCATAACTTTCCCTTGTTCAACTTTAAAATTCTTGTTTAGACCCTCAACCTTTTTTTCCTCTTGTTTTATTTTTTCCATCATATTTTTTCGTTCATCAACCAACATTACAGTAAACGACTTCAGCTTTGTAAGGTCATCTTTTAAGCTTATTTCAGCCTTTTCCAACTTGCTTTCTGATGTCTCAAGGTCCTTCACTCGAGTCTTTACCACTTCCAACTCATTTATCAAATCTTTAGTCAAATTCTTTTCTTTCTCCAAGTTTAAGTGTAGCTGAGTGCATTCAGACTTACTTTTACTGAAAGCCTCTTCCAGCTTCTCTAGTTCTGACATTCTTTTCTGCAGTTTTTCCACTTCAAGTTTCAACTCTTTGCTATGGTGCTCCTCCTCTTGCAGTTTATTTTTCAGCTCTTTGCACTGGGATTCGGTTTTTGTGATCTCTTCATCTTTGCCCTCCATTTCAAGCACACGCTTGCGGAGGTTTTCCACTTCTGCCATTAAGCTAGAGTTCCCACATTCCCCTTTTGCTATTTTATCTCTTAGCTCCTGAAGTTCCTCCTCCGCTTTTTGAAGATTTTTGTTAGTTTCTTCCAGCTCCTCTATTCTGCGAGTCAACCCCACTAGCTTAAGCCTTAGCTGTCTATTATGTGACTCTTGATTACCCAGTTTAGCAGTCATCTCCTCATGTTCTTGAGAAAATGATGAAGTTTTGTGTTCAAGTTCTGCCTCTAACTTCATCAGTTTTTGTCCATCTTCTTTAGTTTTTGCACTAATAATTTTAAGCTTTTCTTCTTCTTCTTTTAGTTTTTGGGTTAAGTCCTGTATTTTCTGGCTTTGTTGACCAAGTTGTTCAATATGCATTTGTCTTTCATCCACCAGCATGAGTGCAAATGATTTGAGCTTGACTAGTTCTTCTCTTAGTTTATTGATTCTCTTTGTATGTTCCTTCTCCTTCCGGGCTTGATAGACCTTCTCCTGCTCAAGAAGTTTCTTCAACCTGAAACAAGTTAGAAAACATGCGTTAAACTAATATATATATGTGTGAGTGTATTTCCCCATTTTAAAAATCACCTTTGTTTTAGCTTCTTTTTTTATTTCAAGTAGTCTTGCAAGAAATCACAGAATAACTACCTATGCAGTTACATTCCCAAACCCAATATTTTAAATTACAAAAGTTAAATGAAAAATGTATAAAATCATCTAGAAATCTGAAACACAGTGAAATTTTATACATATATAGATATTAATTTCTTTCTATTTATTTCTCTGTTAGAATGATGTTGGTAAAAGTACATAGTATTCCAACAGAACAGGTATTATTTACTCACCAATCCATTTATATCAAACTTGTTTTACAAGGTGGATTCCTCCTTATGTCTTGCATATAGAAAAATGTGTAAAGTAAGATAAAAAGTGAAAACTAATTGCCATATGCAGCCACACATAAACGGACCAATCCTGGTTTATAAATAAACCAGCAGGACGGAAGATTACATTAGCACGCAACTGATAACTATCTGGGCATCACAGGCACACAAAATTAGCAGAAAGATAAATTTGCCAGCACACTGACTGTTATGTTAAAAAGTTTCTTCTTCCAAACACATTTCCATTTAGTAGATTTTGTGAACCACAAGGATGAGACTAATCAAACCTTTGGCTACAGCTAACCTCATATGAAAAACGCTCTTCTCTATATGGTCTGTAAAGGTGTATTTTCAGACACTGTAAAAGCTCACAATACACAAATTAGATGTATCCTCAGAAGGATAATAGAGACCTACATTTTCCAGCCTTACCCATGCAACATGGAGATATTATTAGTAATGTAAGTATTTTATACCTGTGATTTATATTCAGGATACACTGACATCAGCAGAGGAAGTTCCTGAACATGTTAAGGGTTGGACTTGATGATCTCGGAGGTCTTGTCCAACCCAGTTGATTCTATGATTCTGTGTTGTAAGCATAGATTTCTGAGGATGGTGATCCTCAATTGACAGAGGTACAGATAACACAGGGATGTATGCCCTAACAATCCAAGAGCTTTATTGCAAAAGCAGCACTCCAACTTAGAAAGACAGAGGTACACACGCTGAATTTACTGTGAAATGGTGTTTTCCAAACCACTGTCATAGTACCTACAACTCCCATATACCCTATCAAGACGTGATAATTCAAATCCACTTGCTTTGTTTACCCTGTTGTCTGAAGCTTTTCAGCTTCTTTTTTATAAATGAGAAACACATCAAAGTGATAATAGTAGAGCAATTTATGCCTGTTAACTGACTTGCAATAACTGGAACATCCATATCTTAGCAAAGATAGACTTTGATGAGTATTTTTATCTTAAATGACGGACTGTGGATGATAGCGGGTGAAGCACAGCTATAACATTCCTCTCTGCTACCCCAGCAATGAAGCAGTGCAAAGGACTCTGAGGCACAATGACATACACACAGGATGTCTCCCAAAGCCCTCACCTGAACTCTAAACTCATAGCAGCCATACTAACTCGGTACTCCAGCAACTGTTAATGTTTCACTCTTTGCTCCTTGGGGACCAGAACAAAGAGGAACTAGAAAGAAAAGCTATAAGAAAAGAGAAGGAAGTCAGAAAGCAGAACACAGGATGCAGTAGGTAGGGAAGGAGAAGGCTAAAGAATACATTTGAAAACAAGAGTCGGATAGAATGTGGGAGTAAGAGAATAGTAGGAACCAGGGGGAGAGAGAAAAACAAACAAACCTTACAGCCAACCTTGCTGGGTCACAGATTACTCTCAAAAAAAAAAAATTCTCTTTAGCTTTGGCATCTCTTTGGAAAGGACTGAAAAGGCATGCTGGTGGATGGGTCAAGTTAAAATATCAAAAGGTAAACAAAGACCCACTGTCACTCACAAAGCATGCACTTTTCACATTGAAGAAGGAACTTTATTGGCATGCAATATATTCCCTGGCTGCTCTTCACGTAAATGTTTCTGCCAAGAACTCTTCCTCCTCTCCCCCAGGCTATATTTTTAAAGAAATAGTACGTACCCTTTGACAAAATATTTGCCAAGACAGAACAATATACCCTAACCTAGTGGTGCTCTAAATGACCCATCTCCCAAAGTAATGAAAATAATAGAAAGTTTCCAGCCTCCCTTGTCCCACACTCAAAAGCCTATCTAGAGATGCTTAGAAAACTGCCTATGATTTTTAATTCCTAGGCATGCATGTGTGATTTTCACCCAGCAGTTGCTCCAGGTGGTATACACCATCCAGGCTGCTAAGCAGAGTGCAAAATAATTCACTGGCAACACATGACCCCATGTGATTACCTGAGAGTCTACTGGGGAATAATGCCAAGAAAGCCAACAAATATCTGTTAAACTAAGACAAAAAAAAAATGCCAGTCATGAGACTGAGTAACAGGAGAAGAAAGCACGTTAGCCCTCTCACTGCCTTGCTGGAGAGCTAACTGGCCTGGCCTCTCTGGGAAAACAAAGCACTGTAACTGTGCCAATGCATGGAAGTGAATTTGCTATCATATCTCTGCTGAGCAAGGTAGGAAGCAACATGCAGCATTTTATCCTGCCTCAGCTTTAACATGGTGAAAGTACACCATCTTAGATTTGACAAGTGAACTTTCAGAGAAGACACTTGACAATACTTCTGTTTTCCATGTCTAGGGAAACGGTTTCTAAAATCTGTTTCTGGGGGGGGGTGAATGGGAAAGCAGCATACAAATCTGTGTGCTAATTACCAAAGTAATTAACAAACTCTACACCTTTTTGGTGCAACTTCTAAACACCAAAATAAAGCTGAGTTTAAGCTTGCTCTCGCTTTCCGCTTTTTCATTCTTGTACAACTTTCATACCTCAGTGGTTAAACTGGAATTTCAGCAGACTGCAAGGTGAGGTTGTTCCTTCTTGACCCTCACAACAGATTTACTACCAGGCTTCTCATCTGACTGCTGCTGCTAATGTTTGCTAAGTAACGCAGAACCACATGGGCTCCAATGCAACACTAAAAGCCTCTCAGACTCCCCGCATGTGAGTCTTCAACGTGTTATCCAGAGCAACTACACTCTGGATTGTCAAAAGGTTGAAACACCCACCTTCAAGGTCAAAACCAAACCAAAACAAAACCTTTTTAATAATGAAACATGGGGCTACATACAGTGAAAATGCTGACAGCCAACCATTTGGTACCCTTAGCCCAGTCCCTGTATTTGCTGTCTTGGTTTGTGGTTGTTTCTGGAGATGGGAAAGAAATGTTTGGATACAAACAGGGGTTTAGCATCTAGACCCCAACATGTAGATACGCTCCAGTTCTGTGTGGAGAGAGTGATCACATTACCTGCTCCTCTACAGACAGCACTGCTAAGTCTGTGTGTTTCTCAATGGGTTACCACAAGTATCATGTCAAAGCATGCAGCCCAGGTCATTCCTCAAATACATGATCTTTTGTTGCCATGAGAGTCCTGCTGGTCTCTCCCTCTCCTTACTATCTGTCCTCCCCACAGAATCTGAAGAACAGGTGCCCTACAGGTGTCCAATACTCAAGATGATCACATTACCCCTTGCAGTGCACTGGATAAATAAAGTAGTGAACTCTTAGGTATGACTGTGTGCAAACTGTTAACTGCCTCAGCTAAAAACAAACACTCCAGGACAATGCTGGTCTCTGATTTTGAACCATAAAGAAAGATGCTTGGCTGGCATGGCACAGGATGCTGGACTACAGAAGCTACCGACGCAATCTCATGCGGTCCATGCTGCATAGGGAGATGCATCTCCTGCATCCCTCCACAGCCTTAGCTGTTCAAGACAAGGGTAGCAGGAGGGAGGTCTGTGGGCAGCCATGCTGGGGAAGTAGGAGACTGAGGACTTTCAACAAGGAATCTCAGCTTGCAGAGAAAGCAGACACCAGGGTGGAGGAAGACCAACTATGGAATAAGTTTTAACATCTTTCATGAATGGTGTGTTGGAAGCAGTCAGCAAGGAGGAAGGCAGAGTGGATGGGCAGTAAGCAGGCCCTCCCTCTCCTCCGTCCTTTAGGTTTCATTGCACAAGGTCTTTCTGCTTCCCCTTTCCTCCTACCAGCTACAAATTGATCAACAGAGGCACGATGGGATGCTGATAGCTACAACCCTACTCCTCCAGAGATGTGCCTTCATTTCTTTTACTATAGTTATATTCCTGTGCTTCATCCTACCAGTTCTGACTGCCTTACTCAGGCTGGGGCTCATCACTCCAGGTTTGCATGGTAAACCTGGTCAACACTATACCTTTTTTCCCGCCACACCCTCAGCTGCCAGAAAGTCTAGTTATCCTGTCAGTGTATTTGTACAAGGAACTCCTGGGTTACAGCATAGAGGCAGTTTGTAAAACAGCACATTAGGTATGTTGGGAAGTGGTGTCCAACCCAGGCAGGGCTTTGGTCTGCTGCAAGCGAATCCCTGAGTCTGCCATGAAGGTCAGGAGGCATGGATGGCTGTATCTCCTCCTTCAAGTGAGAAATGCAGAGTGACTGAAGGGTTCTTGCTGGAGTGTTCTGGGTGGCCATAAGGGTAGTTTAAAATTCTCTTTAAGACCAATCAGTTCATTGTATCAATAAAGCTACAGACTTCACTTATTGTTTTTTCCATTTTAAGTCTACACGTCAAGTGCAATCACTGAGATGCACAGGAGAAACCCCACAATACCATTTTTACAGTGTCTCTACTCAGATTAGAGCAAGACTTTATAATATTTTCATGTTTTTGAAAGACACTGCAATAGTTTCCCAACAGGAAAGCTCCAATGGGCACTACTGGATTTTAGACATGATTTATTTTATTTGTAAATGGTAAAAATAGTAGCAGCACCAAGACCTTAGCTAAAATCAAGCATGTTCTTGTTCACATTTGCAAAAGAAATTACAAATAGTGGTCAGTAAACAATTTCTTCCTTTCTGAAGGATAATAAACTTCATTATTACATTTGAAATGTAATAAGTAGAGCAAATTGGGAAC